AACGCCTTTGTCTCCCCAGTGCTGATCTTTACGCACCGCACCAGGTGCTCACTGAGGCTGAGTCGACCGAGGGGAAGTCAAGGACTGTTCCAGATAATTGTCACCGGTGTTGGCCGTTAGCCGGTATCTAACTCGGGTCGCCGGGTTAGCAGCGCAGTGTGCTACTACGATACTACCGCTCCACACACCGCACGCGTACGCACAGCCGCGCATTCGTATGCACGTACACATATATGCGTCCGTTCGGATGCATATACTACAATCAGGGCCGTATTAAGGCACGGGGCTTTAGGGGCTGCAGTCCAGGGGCCTCTGCCAGCTGGAGGGCCTCCAGAGATTAAATGAAAAGTTATTTCACTTGTGAATGCTGACTTTTTATTTGTTAGCCTTGTAAAAATAAATTAAAATTTTCTTTAACTTTGTTTTCCTTTTGAAAATATTACTTGGGAGACACACAGTACCTGTAGCCCAGGGGCCTACAAAATCTTAATCCGGCCCTGACCACAGTACATTCGAACATGAGCATACATGTACACCTACAGGCTTGTAACACACAACATACATGTACACCTACAGGCTTGTAACACACAACATACATGTACACCTACAGGCTTGTAACACACAACATACATGTACACCTACAGGCTTGTAACACACAACATACATGTACACCTACAGGCTTGTAACACTCAACATACATGTACACCTACAAGCTTGTAACACACAACATACATGTACACCTACAGGCTTGTAACACACAACGTATATGTACACCTACAGGCTTGTAACACTCAACATACATGTACACCTACAGGCTTGTAACACTCAACATACATGTACACCTACAGGCTTGTAACACTCAACATACATGTACACCTACAAGCTTGTAACACACAACATACATGTACACCTACAGGCTTGTAACACACAACATACATGTACACCTACAGGCTTTTTAACACACAACATACATGTACACCTACAGGCTTGTAACACTCAACATACATGTACACCTACAGGCTTGTAACACTCAACATACATGTACACCTACAGGCTTGTAACACACAACATACATGTACACCTACAGGCTTGTAACACACAACATACATGCACACCTACAGGCTTGTAACACTCAACATACATGTACACCTACAAGCTTGTAACACACAACATACATGTACACCTACAGGCTTGTAACACTCAACATACATGTACACCTACAGGCTTGTAACACACAACATACATGTACACCTACAGGCTTGTAACACACAACATACATGTACACCTACAGGCTTGTAACACACAACATGCATGTACACCTACAGGCTTGTAACACACAACATACATGTACACCTACAGGCTTGTAACACTCAACATACATGTACACCTACAGGCTTGTAACACACAACATACATGTACACCTACAGGCTTGTAACACACAACAGCCGCCATTGGCCACTGAGCAGTTGTGACGTCACCACAGCGCTTGTGCCAGGCTAGGTGTACTTTGAAGCCACGTAAAATGTCGTGGGCTCGCTGATAGGTCACGGGACAGACCCAGGCGTTATGGGTCGACTGCCTGAGCGGAGTGGCATTTGACATGTACACACGCACACGTATGCAGTATAGGGGCCGTCCATAAATGACGTTACGCGATTTTTTTTATGATTTTTGACCCCCCCCCCTTCGTCACAGGGCGTCACAAAAAGTCAGACCCCCCTCAAATATGACGTCACAAAGCTCTGCCCCCCCCCCAAAAAAAAATAAAACATGCTTCAAATCGCTTTAAACTATTGTCATTGTAGTGCGTATTTAATGTGGCGCTGGACTCTGATGTTGTAGGAGAAAACATTAAAAAGTCTATTTAATTAAGTAGAACGTGTTGTCTATATTTATTTAAAGTTGCGCATTTTTACGTGACGTCACATTTCTCAAACTCCCCCCCTCGTCACACATCGCCACAAATGTCTGACCCCCCCCCCTAGGTGCGTGACGTCATTTATGGACGGCTCCATACACATATAGGAATAGGCATACAAAGACAAAGGATGTACGGACTACTGTATAGCCTTTAATGACGGGGCAGGTGCTGTTTAGCGAGCACCTATGAATGTTGGCCAGCACCACGCTCGGCCGCCTTTGTCTCCCTAGTTGCGATGTTTACACACTGCACCAGATACTCATTAGTGGCCGAGTCGACCTAGGGGAGGCCCAGGACCGGTTCGGATACTCGTCACCGGTGTCGACCGTGAATGGAACGTGCACAGACACGCGCGGCACACAAGACACGGGAGCTGTTCCGTCGCCGACGTTAAAACGAAACCGGTGAAAACATCACGCCTGAATACGAGCGGCCCTTCACGCAATAACCAAAGCTTTGCGGCAGCATTCCTATCACCGGCAAACACCTGCACCAGTTATCACTTTCTGACGGGGTCGACTGCAGTGCCGGATCAAGCTAATGTGGGGCCTGTAGCAGATGTTATAAAGGGGCCCTAAATTTAACAGATACATACGTACATATTAGAACACAAATTTTTTACTTGCACAGTAAAGTAATTGTATTTTTTTTTCATTTTCTATACAGCCAAATAATACCACAAATCGCTAACCTTAAATACCCAGTCCTTCATAAAAGTTGAAGCCGTTATAGTACTAAAGTAACTGAGCAAGTGCAGAATCACTGAACCGTAATTGATAGCTTGAAAGCATTTAGCGCGGGGCCCTTGAAAGTGCGGGGCCCGTAGCTGCTACATAACATATCGCTACTTTTGCTACGAGGATAACGCGGCACTGGTTGGCTGGCTGGCTGGCGTGAAGGTCAAGGCGCTCTCCACGCAAATCGCGAGACCCTTGAAGCGCGGTGGCCCCCTAGCTCGGCTTCGTCCGCTTTATATCGCCTCGAGCGCCACGCTCCACTGGAGGCACATTGCTCGGTCCGCTGGTGACAAGGAACGCGCATTTGGTGGTGTTCGGCACGGGACTTCGAGCGGCGTAGACCTTTAGGCTGACCGTGTCCTACATGGGTAAAACCAATCAACGTTCGGACCGTGACTTTGTTTTTTAGAGGACCCAAATTCTAAAGTTGATCTTTTTTTGTTGCTCGATATCAGAATCTGAATATGTATGTTTTACTGGAGGAATCCGATGATGTCCAGTATTTTCACAGATGTTCAATGCGATATGAGTGAGCATAGACACGAATGTACAGTAATTGTCCCGAATTTCAACGCAATAATAACTCGGACCACTCAGTCACCATCGTCTGTATCGGATGAGTGTTTGGATGTTGTAGAAAACCCTTTTGGTGGGGGGGAGCACGTGCCCCCCCCCCTAATTATCCGATCGAAATCCCTAATTCCGATCGGCTCATTGGGGTTTATTAGTAATAAATCGGCATTTTACGACCCCCACTGCCACTGTGTAGCATATTATTACGTGCCAGTGAATCTATGAGATGATAGGACAATAGTCCATAATTGGCAATAAGTAACGGCAAGTAGCGGCAAAGCAGTTATAAGTGACTCACAGAATTGTGCGCAGTTGCGTATTCAGTACACGACTTCCCTGAAGGCATTCACCTTCAGCGAGCGCGATCCCAATGACACAACGCGGTTCGAATTCGACCCTCGATCGATGGCTGCGCCATTGCCTCACACGTGACGAATAAAAAGCAAGGGACAAGTCCTTACTAACTAACAACTCCTCTATCATTGTTCATTGCTGGAGGGGTTGTCCCCCTACCTGAAAATCCTGGCTCCGCCATTGCTTTTGCCAATGTACAATGATTCCCGAGGAGGTGAATGAAGGCGGACACGATAGGCATAGAAGTACAAACAACAATAAATATTGAAAAAGTAAGAATAGGTTTTACCCTTCTTGACACTAAAACAGGCGTTAAGATATATATTCTTGGTTCTTTCGGTAAAGTCACGTAGAAGGGAAACAATAAAACAATATTATTATTTTATTTATTTAATTATAAAATAATTCTAAAGTTTATATATTCTTGGTTCTTTTAGTAAAGTCACGTAAATAATAATATTATTTTATTGCTTCCCTTCTACGTGACTTTACCCAAAGAACCAAGAATATGAAGCCCTGAAGTCACGAAAGCTTCAAAACAGTTGCGTTAAGATGTTCAAACACCAAATAGAAACCTTCTGCAAGGAATCATGTCTGCATCAACCATCAGCAGAGTCAGGCTTGATAGACACATTCTGCTGGATTCTTGTACCAGATCTCATTGGCGAGAGCGCAGTGGCGCTCGCTCATAGTCTGGGTGATTCCGTCAGAGGTCCATGCACGTGTGCGCGGTGGCGCTGGCCACCCACCCCCTCGTGTACCGTGCCGGCCTTCACAGGTGCTCGCTAACAGCACTTGCCCCAACAGTCTGTTAAGGCTACACGGTGGCGAGGGAGGGGGGGGTCTTTGTCTTTGTAAAGTATCTGCGGGGAGCGGTAGTGCCGTGGTTAGCGCGCTGCGCGACGAACCCGGCCGCCCGAGTTCGATGCCCGCTCAGAGCCAACATTAGTGACGATTATCTGAACCGGCCCCTATATATGTCGAGTCAGCCTCAAATGAGTACCTTGTGCGATGTGTAAACATCTCGCCACCAGGGAGACGAAGGCGTTGCGGGTGTGGTACTGACCAACCAACCAACCAACACCCCCAATGTGCCACAGCGCCGGCCTTCATAGGTGCTACTCGTGCTAACAGCACTTGCCCCAACAATCTGTTAAGGCTACACTTAGGGGGGGGTGGGGGATCTTTGTCTTTGTAACGTATCTGGGCGGCTGTTCTGTGTTAAGCTCGCCTGCCTCGTGAAAGTGACGCGTTGCGCCGTGCGAGTGCTCAGAATAGTCCCCGCTCGTCTGTGCGCGGTGTCAAACAAAATAAAATAAAACCCAGCGCGTCACCTCGCTGACCGGCCCGCAGGTCACGTCGCTCCGAGATTATGCCGTCGCCTAAAAACAAAAAAGTTGACGGCAACATTTCGGTCGAGTGTTTCATTGCGTTTTATCATTCATAACCGATTTCCACCGAAGCAAAGCGTTACATAACACGTACACATTCGGTTGCCACCTGTCCTGGGTTTTTTCAGGATCGTCCTCTTGTTGTTGTTGAGGTGGGCCGGCCTGGTAAATGTGTGTGTTCCCGGGACATTGTAAGTCTCGTATCCCGTCAGTTGCGCGACAATTGACCACTCGAGACAGTGCCTTCTCACGTAGTTCTCACCTCTTCTCGGTGCGGTGAGATATTCTTCTTCGTCCAATGAAATGTGCCGTTTTTGTGTACCTGATGGTTGGCAACCCCGGGCATACACTGAACTAAGATAGGTGTAAAACAAGCTGCAATTTGTATGTATTTATTAACATTGTGGAGTTTAGAAAGCAGCATTTTCCCTTCACAGGAATAATCGGCACAAGCAGCAAACGCCTCCGCGTCCTGTTAGGACATTACCCCGATCTTTGTTTCCCCTGGCTGTCCCACACGATGTTTGAATGCTCAGTGACGTAATCAGCACCACCAGAATATTTATTTAGACTTGAAGAATCCGATGAGCTATGAAGCTCTTTTCCACAGATGTCCAGTAGGGGGCGGGTCAGAAAGTTATAACGACAAATCAAGCTGGGTGTGACTTATCGGGGGTTTCCTGCCTTCAAGAAGCAGGCGGTAGGGACGGCAGCCATTTTAAAAGTTTCCGACTAATTGACCACTAAAAAGTAGCCCATTACAAATCTTCTTCAATTAAATCGGCTTCATTGATTAAACGTCCAGACTCTTTTTATCACTTGTTTTTACATCGAGTCTCTTCGGCAGGCTGTGTCCGGTTAAGTCAACGCAATGATGTACTCTCAATGTCACTGGCAGAAGCCATGCGTGGTTAATGTGTAACCCAGATAACAGTAAGGGTAGCAAGTTATACGTTACATTTTTGGAGACTTCAGACGTGCAATGTTAATGAACATTGCTAGGTGAGGTGGGAGGGGTTTTTTTGTTGATAATTTTTATTCCAAAAAAATCTGTTACCTAAAGGACAAACATGCTACAAATAGATTTAATACATGTGATTTGATTCTCAAGCCCTCACATGTGACCTGAGCTCCTGAAACCACGTCGCCAAGTCAGTTTAAGTGTGTTTAGAGAACTCCCCCCCCCCACCCCCTGTTACATTTTGGTTTATTTCCGTAACATTTTTGGTTAAAACGTGTCGATGTCTCGATCACCAGCAAATGGGGTCAAATATCCAAGTCCGTGTGTTTCAGCTGTTCCATCAAGTCCCTTCAGCACAATGTATCTCGCGATCACCCCCACTCCACGCCTGTCCCTCACACACGCAGGTAAAATAAAATCTTTGCAAACACAATTAATGAGTGGAGCCTGAACCGTTCTCCGTGAACCCGGGCCTGTTCTATGAAGAAAAACAATAGTACACACACTGCATGAGCTGTAAACAAGCAGGCCTTTTAAAAACAATTTTACACTGCCCGTTAACATCTGGAATTGGCACAGAGGCTACCCTGCAGGCGTCTCCGTCCTATGAGACCATGGCCCGTGGCATTGAGGCGAGTCTATGGGGCTCTTTGAGCCTATGGGTCTCTCTCTATATTAATTATTTGGACCGTCTTGCACTGCATGTGTCCGGAAGTATCCTGGAGGCTACCAGGGAGGTGTTAGCACACTGACCTCTTAGCCTCACCATGTCGACGCCACTCTCTCAGCCCCTACAGAAGGGCTTTGGGTGGACATGAGAGCCTCTGGGTCACTATGCGAGTCTACTGGTCTGCACAAGTGTTACCACTTGTGTGTTAACGTGTTTAACCTTTGCCGGTGTGAATGTTGAGCCTGCTTCACAGGTGTGCGTGGTCTCTGGCAGACTGCACTGGTCGGCCTGGATGCTGCCGGCAGTGTAAATCGGCCTTTTATCAGGGCACACATGGTATTGCTGCTACACACACATGGTATTGCTGCTACACGTGTAGTATTGCTGCTACACGTGTAGTATTGCTGCTACATGCACATGATATTGCTGCCACGCACGTGGCATTGCTACACACGTGGTATTGCTGTTACGCACGTGGCATTGTTTGTACACACACATGGTATTGCTGCCACCCACGTGGTATTGCTACACACGTGGTATTGCTGCTACTCACGTGGCATTGTTTGTACACACACGTGATATCGCTTCATGAAGATGTGTGAAGGTAAATCGGGACAGCGGCGGCCATGGTGTTCCGCGGCATTGGGATGAGCGACAGGAATGGCAGCCCGCCACTCCATCTGAAGCTTTGTCAGGGGGTGGCGTCATGGGTTGGGTGGGAGGAGGGGGCACCTGCACTCCATCTATTTCTTAGCTGCGGATTTCTTGTCATTCTTCTGGCTGGCGCTCCCTGCACACGCGCACGTGAGTAAAACGAATACGGGTGAAATCGCGTTGTATTCACACAAATCAAATGATGGAAGTGGTGGCATTGGCGATGGTGATCAAAAGCAAATTAATACAACAGTTTAATCTCACGCCTTTTGGCGTTCTCTGGTCTAACACCGTTTGAGACGAGGCTCGAAAGAAAGCTGTATCTGGTGTGGACCAATCAGTTTCAAAGACAATGCATATATTATCAGAGTATGTTTTTTGTTTGCATTCTGACCACAAGTATTGTGGTTAATGCAAACATAATTCATTGTAAAAGGTTTCAGTTTGGTGTTTTAACATCTTAACACCTGTTTTGTTGCCAGATAAAAGCGGAAAACCTATTCTCATATTTTGGTACTGGCAAAGGAGGTCCCATGATGAAGCTCAATCTCAATTAAGATTGCTTCATTTGATATAAAAAAAAACGTCTTGCAGTGGTTCACGCACTACTCTATGAACCTCGCCATCTGAGTGCGATACCCCATTATGGCTAACATCTAACATCGGTGAGGAGTGATATCTGAACACGTACTTGGCTCCCCCCCCCCCCCCCACCTTACTTCACCATGCTGCATGAAGTACGGTCAAACACACCGAACGACTGACACGGTGTGGAGTAGGCCTTCACCCGGCAGTAGAATGCCAATGGGCTGTAAGTCATTATTGCTGTTAGTAATCGCAGTCTTGTCTAGAGAGTCGCAGTGGTCGCGTGTCATCGCAAACGTGCGACGTCGGCAGCACCTACCATGCGATGCCAAGCTCGTGCTTGTGACTGCAGATTTCTGAAAGAACAAACCAGCAAAGAGAAAACTCTGCTTAGTGCCAAACCTACAATGGCAACAAGAACACAAGTCACATCGCAGTTGGTTGAGCCAAATCTGTTCAGCAAATCTTATCTGTGTTTGCTGAAAGCAACGTTCCACTAGATGGCAGTACAGGAAGCAGGTTGTTGATCTATTTGCCCCACAAATATAAAGCATACCTCTGGATGGTGAAACACTGTGTGTCGAAACCGGTCCAGAGTTTGTTTGTCTTCAAACAATGCTGCTGAAATGATGCACTCCCAGAAGGCCGTGCAGCGGATGGATTTCGTAATAAATACTTTTATTTTTTGTATGTGGAGAGATGTATATGTAATGGAGACATTGTCTGCTTATTTATTTTTTTATTTGTGGAGCAGATTTGAAAGGGTTTTTATTGCACTCTCATAAGATGTGACCATGACTGGCACCATCTTTGGTGCATCGCCAAGTCCATTTTTCACTTTCCGTTCACTTTTCACGTTTGGTTTTCGAAGTGCCATTTTACAGGAAGACGTAACAAACAGAGACAAACAGCTCTCATCTCGCAGATAAGTACTGAGGCTGCGTGTCGCAGAGTACGTGCCATAAGTTAGAAGATTCAGTAGTGAGAATAAACAATAATTTAACACGTAGGCTTTCGCGACCTAACCCAAAAACGTTTATTATGAAGAATTAACAATTATTTAAGGCCTTCGACGTCACAAGGAAAAGTGTGATTTTTACACGTGTTAATAAAAAGTCACCATCACGAGGACACCACCACCAAGGTGTCACACCTTATTGTTACTTTAAAGTATATATATTTTTTATCATTCACGAAGCTTCTATGGTGCAGACCGGGACATAGCCGAGGTACATATGTTGTAAATATTGCACGTGCCTCGCTGTGTTATCACTGGGCTACGCGTCCTCCTATGTTGTGGACACGTACGCATTTCTTGATTCCCTAGATGACAACACCTGCTCACCAATTTGGAGCTCATGCCACAAGCAGCCTCAGGAAATCTACTTCCACGGGTATGTGACTCGTCACACGGCATTGTTGCTGCCCGAACAACTTGAAACCTTTAAATGTTGGTTCTGAGGGCAGCTGCACTCGTTCCTACCACCGCTGAAGGTTTGAAGGACTGACACAGGTTTTCTTCGTGACACGGAAACTGGTCGCGGTGTTTTTTTTTTGTTTGACTGGATCATTCCGCTCCTCTGTCTGAAGCCGGGAATGATAAGAGCTTTTTTTTTTTTAAATAGACATTGCATTTTCTTCAAGACGATATATATACACTCGCGATCGTTACCATCTGCTCCTTCCTGCGCTCCCAGAAGGCGTGGAGCCGCTCCGTGGGGAGTTTAGCGTCTCCCGCGGGGTTCGCCAGCCACGGGTGCTTCAGGGCGTCTGCCACCCCGAGCCGCTTGCTGAGAAAGACAAACGCGGGTGAGAGGTATGCAATTACGCCCGACTGCGGGGAAAGTAATGATACGTTGCTACATTACATGAAGTCCATTCTCTTGCTCGTTTCCCCTCATGTTGTGTAATTTTCAAAGGGCTTTGATGGGGCGTTATTTATTGTCCTGACTATTCTGTTAATGCTGTGTTGTTTGATTGTGCGTTTATGGGCTAGGTTTTAATCTGTGAACCAATTATCGTGTTAATTGCTACCGTTGCATATATATTTTTTTATAAATCAACCGTTAATCTCACCATACATGCACGACATTGCGCACGTAAGTATTGATTATTTACAAGGTATGCAAGTCATATGCAAAATATAAGTTAACGTGACAATCAGGTTTATTAAGCAATCACAACTGTATACATCGAATCCTATCCCCGACAAGTCGCTGACTCTGGGTGCCGGGGGTCAGGATGCAGCCGGTGTTGGCAACTTTATGATTTTGTCGTAAAATCCATCGACTTATTAGATTTTCCCTAGCGAAAAAATGCTGTCCCAGTGACCAGCAACAAATTTAGCGACAAATTTCACCGCAGGTATGTACCAAGGTTCCTGTGTGAGTTTACAATGTGCAATACCTTGTACACTGCCAGGTGATCGTTTTTTTGACGTTTGAAGGTCTATCAAGCGACATCTGGTGACTTTTTGAGCTTATCTTGGCAACTTTCCACTTTAAGGAGCTGGCAACACTGGATGCAGATCCCGGGGATGCAAGAGACGCGGGGGAGGGGGGGGTCTCACGGTGGTGCCTTGACCAGCAGCTTGGAGATGAATTCTCGCGCGGGCCGCGACACGGCCTTGAACTCTTCCTCAGGGAGGCTGTAGGTTGCCGCCACCACCTTCTTCACCGTCTCACTGTCCCACTGGTCCCAGAAGGGCGACACGCCGCTGAGCCTACGCACGTGCACAGAGTGACAGATTGACACAGTCGCAGTGACAGCCACAGTTAGCGCGAGCCAGGGAGGGTGTGTGTGTGTTAAGCCAGTGTGATCATGGCTCGGAGTAGTATTCAGTTGGCTAGTGTGGCCGTAGTTGGTGATAGAAGTAGGACCATTGTTCTCTTGTCGATGCCCCATAATAGTGTACCACCCGATATTCCAATTGTATTTTTAATTAAACTTTTGGTGGCCCATTCACATCTTGATGATACTAAAAACAGAACGCCATTGTCTTTTTGACAACGGAGACCTCGGCACAATTTACAGAAAAATTGGGATGAAAGAATGAACATTCGACAACGCCTGAACGAGGGCCCAGGTTTTTCGCAAACACATGCCGACGAGCGGTGCAGATACGCACATGACGCAGGCAAGCAGCCCCACGGGCCACGCGTCCGTGTTGAACGTCACAACCTCGTTGGCCACGACCTCGGGCGCGGCGAATTCTGGCACGGGGATCTGATGGGGTGCCTTGAGGTTGTCCTGGTAGCGCAGGGCGCAGCCGAGGCCCGCCACCTTCAGCTCGTCCGATTCTCGGCTCGCCAGCCACAGGCACTCGGGCTGCCGGGCGGGAACACAGAGCGCCCGGGGGTTTGTTCTTCAGCACATGAAAAAGCTACATTTTTTACGTGAGGGCCCATTGATTTGGATAGAGCGCTTTGGCCAAGAACACCTGACAACCAAGCGGCATTTGTTCAACAAGACTGACTCTTGATTGAAAGCTTTCGTGACTGCAGTGATTCATATTCTTGGTTCTTTCGGTAAAGTCACGTTGAAGGGAAACAATAAAATAATAAAATATATATAAAACAATTAAATTCTCACGACACCTGATGATGACCGCTTGTGTTGCAGTCGAAACGTCGTGATAATTTTATTGTTTTATATATATTTTATTATTTTATTGTTTCCCTTCAACGTAACTTTACTGAAAGAACCAAGAATATGAATAAGACTGACTCTGCTGATGAGAATTACGAGGTCGAAACCAGCAGCAAATGCTGTTGGATTATTTTAGACTGAAAAGCCAATCGGAAGCTGGACTAAAAAAAAAAGTACTTGCATGTGGAGACACAGGACGGAGAGATACAATAGAAGCAATTTAATTTGTCTGTGAGTCCGTCAGTCGCGTAAAATATCTGAAGTACCTTTTGTCATACAGAGTTTCATGAGGGTTTCTTTTGGTCAGATGTAACCAGTGACCTATAGTCTGTGGTTAATAATGAGCTATATACGACCTTTGACCTAGGTGAAAAAAAACACTCTCACCTTGCTAATTTTATTGGGTTTCACAGAATTAAATATGATTTTAGTTGGGAGTCTTACAACCTTTTTTGTCAATACACCGCGAGATAAGGACCTCCCCCACGCCATGCGGATTGGGCACTTTATCGGCCATACTTCACCACGTTGATTAATGCAACTTGGTGAAGTGGGGAAGGCAGGGAGCACAGACGTTTCAGCATTGAAATACAGTGCAACAATGGATTTTGCTACCACTGCCTTCTGCTAAAAACATGAAAACCCCTTGCCGTTTAAACGCAGCTCATTCCTCCGTGAGCCCACCGCACCTTGACGTCCAGGTGCAGCACGTTGAGGCTGTGCAGGTGCTGCAGCGCCAGGCACAGCTGTTTCAGGATGCCCGACACCTTGCGCTCCGTCAACGCGAAGCCCTTGCCGCTGAGGCGCTCAAACAGTTCCCCTCCCTCCACGCTGCGCACAGGTCGGACAAGGGCGGCAAAGCGGCGCTCAGGGGCGGGGGGCACGTGGGGTGGGTCTGCAGGAATACCTTCGGGAGCCCACGACGAAGGGTTTTCCGCGGTTGTGCCGTAGAGCTCCAAGGTTTGTTTTCAGGCTGTACCGTGCGCGCCATTCGGCTTGATAAGCCGTTGGGTGGAATAGTCCCGAGACGTATGGCCAAGAGACGATGTCAGCCGTAGCCGGGAATCGTACTCGGGTCAACCGCTTCATAGCGCGACGTGCTAACCACCGTGCTACTCTTCCCAACTCGACCATCTCAACAGCAACAGCCTCCATTTCACCACTGAGTGGTGGCGATGTCACCGCAGGACTTGTGCCAGGCTAGGAGCACTATGAGGCTATGTCGTGAAATGTTGAAGGTTTATCAGGTAAACAAAACGTGCCAATTCGTTACTACTTCAGCACACCGGTGTGTTGGAGAGTAAACCCACAACATTTTCAATTCGGGTACAGTACGACGTTTCGCTGGTGATTACAACCAGCTTCATCAGGCGATTTGCCAGAATTGTGAGCAAGTCTTCCTGTTTCTGGTCTTTCTAAGTTTACACAGCCACCTGCCAGCCGCACATAGCACAATATATACACAATAATACCCCGCCGTACGTTGGGGGTGTGTTCCTGACAGGTGCGACGAACTTCGAAAGGATCCAAATCAAAGCAATCTACAGGGTAGGTGGAGGCGATGGCTGAGACGACAGATACGAGAAAGGACGGATGATGCTGTCTATGACGTGCGTGTGGAACGAGGCGACGCAAATCGGGTAGTGGTAGTAATAAATAATAAAGTGACGACGCAATTGCGAGACGACTTACAATGGGAAGACGTAAATCGGGGAATTGCTGTATGCAGTGTGGAATTGTGATGCTCTGTCGAGAGGCATGTTGCGTAGCTTTGGGGTTCTAAGTTCTAAAGTTCCCCGGCCACGTACGGCTCCGTGACGAGCACCATCTGCTTGGTGTCGAGCAGGTGGTAGACGTCGAGCAGCTGCAGCACGTTGGGGTGGCTCGCCCCGTACAGCAGCTGGGCCTCGTTGAGGTACTCGGCGCGGTGGCTGTGTCGCTGCGCGTTCACGAAGCGCGCGTGAGCGGCGCGGCCGGACGCCTTCTCGACGGCGCGGAACAGCGTCCCCAGTAGCCCCCTGGGCGCACAGCGAGAGGGGCAGGCAGAGGGCAAGGGTCGGCCTCCGCCGGCGCGGCGTGGCGTGACAGTGTGGTGCGCGCAACGGCGTGCGGTGTGATGGGAAATCGTATCGTAATAAAAATCACGATGGTCATCGTGGATATCATCATCAAAATCATTAGCATTATCAGTCATCTTCTGGTCATTGCTGCATCCTTTGTCGTCATCAACTTAAATAAATTAGACAATAGGATTATTTTGAGGTGATTTGGCTGCGAGTCTGCTCGCTCTGTTAATTGTTTATATTACATTGCCAACCCTGTTTTGTGCCGGCCCTTGCACAAAAAACACATTCAAAGTAAAGTCGCCTTCAGCAGGGAAAGGTCCGACGTCACTCCTGCAGCCGCTCACACTCTCATTCACGCACACCCACACCTGAAAACGCTCGCTTGCTTCTGTCAGTGGTGAAGGCCTCCCCACGCCTTGTCAATTATGGGGGTTGTTTGACTATACTGTACTTCACCATGCTGGTCAGTGTAGGTTGGTGAAGGCAGAGGGGGGGGGGCGATTTCAGTATCAATCGCGACTGTTGATAGCCGTGGCCGGGAATCGAACTCAGTACGCTAACCACTGTTCCACTGCACATCCCCGTGGTTGAGTGATCCCAAAATAATGCGCCTCCTGGAGATACTCCCCCGCTGATCGACACCGTTTCTCGGGGCAGACGTTGATTAGATGTGGTGGACGACGCTAACGCCTTACAGACGCCAGAGCATGAACCTCAAAGGCGAAAGGTCATCGGGGGAAGCACGTGCAATCTCAAGCTGCCACGTTGGTGGTCAGGCTGCAATAATAATGATGCCCTTTTCTTATCTAGGTGAGCCTCACCAACCTCCAAAACTATTTTTTTAGGGAAGGCCGACACTGGGATGTTTAACCATGGCATGACCTTCATTGATGAGTATTTGTGGTATGTAGGAGAAACCCCACACATAAGAGGGGATAGCACTCAAAGCTTGGCACAGATAGATTCAAGAATCAATTGATGTCATGCCATCTATCCAGCTCACAGATGAATGCAAGAGATTTCTCAATTAAGAGAAAACATAACCCAAAGAACACAGACGACTTTCGTCTTGTCAGGGCACGGTCAAAGCAGTGTGTTTCGAGTTGTCCCACACGATTTTAAAGTTCAGTTAAGGAGAAAAAATACATACGTTAAGAGTTACTTCCTGTACATTCTAACAATATCAATATGGTATGAATGCTGTACTTTTTAAGGTAACAACCACGTTCATATATATTGCAACCGTAAATCATTACATTCTGGTTGTATTGTACTACTAAAATGTTATTCCATTGTAGTTGTATTGTTTTATGCTTGAATCGTGTTTGTTCTGGTTGGATTTTTACGCAATTTGTGAGGCCTTATAGGAAGTCCTGGAAGGAACTATCTAAATGCAATGTTGTTTTTGCCGTTGTTTTTGTTTCTGCTGCGACATAGCTAATAGCTTGCCACTCCTCCCCATTGCCAAGTACTCTTGGTATTTTACTTTTTTGTTAAACTTTCACTTTTGGCATTGCGGCGTTTCAGTACGTATGCATGTTGAACTTATACTGGTAGGAAACGTAGTGGACTGGAAGCCCAACCGGGATTAATTCACAGGAGGCAGGGGATTAATTGTGTATGTCTGTGGATGTCTGTCCACGTGTATCCGGACACCCGGATATATAACAAATGCGCTCCTAGTGGGCATTACTGGTAGGAAACGTAGTGGACTGGAAGCCCAACCGGGATTATCACAGGAGGCAGGGGATTAATTGTGGATGTCTGTGGATGTCTGTCCACGTGTATCCGGACACCTGGATAAAATGGGAGGGGTGGGGCTGGGTGGAGAGGGGAGGGTGGGGAGGGACTGGGTGGGGAGGGTGGGGAGGGGCTGGGGAGGGTGGGGAGGGGCTGGGTGGGGAGGGTGGGGCTGGGTGGGGGGGTGGGGAGGGTGGGGCTGGGTGGGGGGTGGGAGGGGTGGGTGGTGGGAGGGGTGGGGCTGGGTGGGGAGGGGCTGGTCACCCCGTGGTGCCCTTATAAATCTCAACGTTTAACCTACTCACGCCGGCTTGTGCCCGCCCTCACAGTCGGGCATATTTGCGGAATACACCACGTGGTGCCGCCGTTGTCCCTGGCCATTAACCGAGCAACCAACGTTCCTACCAGCTCCCTCCGCAGGAATGTGTTTTCGGACAGAACGTCGCCAACCGTGCTAATCTGAGGTGCAGGGAAGGACAACAAACTAAACACAAAAATCAGTTCTAAAGAAATGAGTTTGCAATCTAGATCTAAAAGTGCAAAGCTCCAGTGGCTTCCTAACATCGGAAGGTAGAGTGTTCCATACGGCCGCAGAAGCGCATCTGAAAGCGTGCGATGTGGTAACCATCTTTGTTCGGTGGCTTGCCAAAAGCCGCTGCGAGGATGACCGGAGTTCGTGTGATGATGGTTTAAATCTCCTTGATGAGATCAGTAGGTATTGTGGTTCATTTGTGGCTTGTCAAAGGGTAAAAATCCCACCTGCTGATCTCTTCCTTGAGCTCGAAGAAGTCCTCCAGCTTGCGTTCCCTGGGCAGCAGCTCGCCATTGTGCAGGTGGTAGGAGACACTCACCACGGCCATCGTGGTCACGTCTGTAAACGTCAGCAAGGATCTTCACCATCGCCATTTATCACTTATACCACCGCTCCCATGCAGTACATCTCGAGGTGCCAGGACGAAGGGGCGTTCGAGATAATTGCCAGAGAATCACTCGTCAACGAATCGATTGCAGATCAAATACAATGGGGAAAACAATGGGGTACTGACAATATACGCGGACAATACAGATGTATGTGTTAAGATGTGAATAAAGTGTTGGGGTGATTTATAGATACTATCATAGGAATAATAATTATAGATACTATCATAGGAATAATAATTATAGATACTATCATAGGAATAATAATTATAGATACTATCATAGGAATAATAATTATAGATACTATCATAGGAATAATAATTATAGACGCTATCATAGGAATAATAATTATAGATGCTATCATAGGAATAATAATTATAGATACTATCATAGGAATAATAATTATAGATACTATCATAGGAATACTAATTATAGATACTATCATAGGAATACTAATTATAGATACTATCATAGGAATAATAATTATAGACACTATCATAGGAATAATAATTATAGATACTATCATAGGAATAATAATTAGAGATACTATCATAGGAATAATAATTATAGATACTATCATAGGAATAATAATTAAACAATGCTTTACAGTCCTCAATTAAGCCACTGCTTGATCGAGGCCTTCCCACGCCACGTCGGCCATGGGGGTTGCTTGACCATACTTCACCACGCTCGTCAGTGTGGGTCGGTGAAGGGGACAACCCCAGAATGGCTTTAGATTTCGCTCGCCACTCGTGTTAGCCGTGGTTGCGAATCAAACTCAGTCGGTGGCTGGGTTCAAACTAGATTCGAAGTTTTTAGTGACTGCAAGGAATTACTCTTTGATTCTTTCGGTAAAGTCACGTAGAGAGAAATTAAATGAAATAATAGAATCCGACGTTTCGATTGCAACACAAGCAACAATCGTTTCGATTGCAAGCAAGATGATGGTTGCTTGTGTTGCAATCGAAACGTCGTATACTATTATTTAATTTAATTTATTTCTACGTGACTACCGAAAGAACCAAAGAGGTGGCTGGGTTCCTTGTCCGACCGCACCCTACCCGGTTGTAATATTTAAATTGTTAATACAGTCGGAGTAAATAACCTACCCTACGCACTTGGCGTTTCCTTCAGAGAAACACAACGTGCGTTGCAAGCCCTGTACACAAGTTTCAAGTTTCACAGCGTCGGACTTATCCCCCTCCACCATCGATCCCGGGCATCGTGACCGCTAGGAGGAGTGAAGGAAAATCGTCTAAAAATAAAGGCTAAAGGGGTCACAGCAGGGAGAGCAGGCCGGCATTGGCGATTCCACGCCCACCCCCCTCCCCCCGAATAAACAACAGTGCCCCCCGTGTGTGACCTCCCGCCCCCCTCCCTATTCAGAGGCAGCTTGAGTCCAAGTGGTGGAGGTTCATCGTGGCCAATATTACTGATGCTACCACCCTGCCATCGCTTCCTTCCTTCTGCCAGATTCCACAGAGATTTGCTCCTTTGCAGTATTCCCACTTAGGGATATCGGTGCCCCCACTCCTCCATATATTAGCTGGTGCCCCCCCCCCCTTAGTAGCCCCCTATTTACTGTCCTTATATTGCCCCTGCGTGCAAGGGGCAAAGTGTGTGAATACCACCACCTCGCCTGCTCAGGCAGAAACTCCAGAGCCTCGAGTGAAAAAGTGGTTCTGACAATCATAATTGATTCTTGTAGCCCAGGGGGCATGACTGATGGGTATTTTCATGGCCAAGAATGGGGAAAATGGGAGGGCGAATGATAGGATTACCACTTTCAATTGGCTGCAGACATTTCTTTCAGGGCCGCAGTATTTCACACTGCAGAACACGGCCCAAATCGTCGCTGCTGCAGGTTAGCGCGCAACGCGCCATGAAGCCAGCCTCCGATCAGTGGCAAAGTGATATCTGAAACCGTCCTGGGCCTCCCCCACTTCACCAGCCCGCACTCACGCGTGTGCCGAGGTGGGATGTTCAGCAGTGAGTGGAATTGTACCCAACTGCCACATTGCGCAACAATGCAGTCACGGCCATATTCGACGCACTGCAGTGTCAATTCAGCCCCAGCTTTGGCCACTTGCATTAACGCACTCATTGCTCTCGTTTGCAAGTAGGCGAAAGGTGCTCAGGGACATGTCAAAGATGCCTTCGCATACGTACAGGACCATATTCGCGTCTTGAATAAATGGCCGAATCGCATCGCCTTGGTGAGTTGTCATCGTTGGTAAATTGGAGGCTGAGGGAATAATTACGGCCAAAAATCGTACGAAACGGAACGTGTTCGTGTTGCGTTATTCATGCATATTGTGCCAAATAAAAGCGTTTTTGACCCTTGCTGTGCTTCAGTTGCTGATAATATATCATACTCTAGATTTGATAAAGTGATGGTGCAATGGATTGCGCACTGCAGTTTGAAATTGGTATGCTGACTAAAAAAGCCCCTGTCTTTTTCCATATATGTATTTTAAATGAAAATATGTTATATAGCTGCATAGACGCATATGGAGTGGAGTAATACAAGTCATGGGCCTCTCCCTTCACCATCTCACACTGACCAGTAGCGTAGTGAAGTATGGTGTAATAACCTCCACGACTGAAACAGTGTGGGGGAAGCGTTCATCCAGCAGTAGATTGACAACGAGCTGTGAATCATCGGTGATTTCCAATGCGATTCTGACAAGGACTAAACAGGCTTCATTGCTGCGTCTTGTTATTGTGACAAACTGTGCACGAAAGTACGCTATAACGTCCTGCCGCTCTCCACGCTATAAATAACACTCATCTCCTTCATCGCCACAACCACCGCCACGGAAAACACGCGCATCTGTACCGAGAGGGGATATGTAAACTAGCCACGCGCGCCCCCCGCAACTTTCCACAGCCCGCTCACTGCACAAGAAGGCATTCCAGTGCTCTCCGGAACACCGGGCGGCTTCTGAGCCTGAGCCTGGCAGCGTGTTTCCGTGCTCCACGCGAGTGAGTTTGCAGCGCATACCGTGCGACGTCTTGCTCACGCTGTGCGTGCCCCTCGTGGTCTTCTGCAAAAGGGAAACAAGCCCACACGCACACACAAAGCTTTGGTGAACTGTGAATGTTGCATAAATGCGCTGAATTCCTCCAAGCAATATGAATGTTATATTTATCTTCAGACGGTCATTATGGAACTGATGAGACGATACTGACAAGTAATTGATCAGTTCTGTACAAGAAAAGGAGGCTTTCACCCACCCACAAAATAATTCCCATATAGCCTCAGAGACTGCGCACACAAATAAGTCTCTGAGTGTTGCTATCTTCAAGACTGAATCAGTCGGATTTAAGAATAGGTCGATTTTTTTTGCTCCATTGTCAGTTCGTGTCTGCATAGTTACGTTGTAATTTGTTGTCATTCAATAATTCCCGCTGATATTTGGCTCACATGTGTAGCGCAATATAAGAATACAGCTCGCATAATTTATTTATATTATACACATTAGGAGCAAGTATTGTTAGCACCTACCAGAGCTAGAATTGTAGACGATGAGGTGGCGTGGCCATCATTGTGCTCAGCCCCCTTTCTCCATATTCCTAAATATTTCTCGATTCTAGTTCAAGTTTATTAGTTCAATAGTTTAACCAGGTGAGAACTCAAAGAGACCAGGATTGGCTCATTTCTTAGTGACCTGGGTATGAAGAGACACCCCTACCAGGTACAGTAAAACCTTGGATTGCGAGCGTAATTCGTTCCGGAAACGTGTTTGTAATCCAAAGCACTCGTATATCGAAGCACTCGTATATCAGTTGTGATCACGTGACGCTCGGCAGTACAAAGCGTATACGCACTACTCGTATTGCAAGACCTCGCTCGTTTATCAAATGAATATTTATTTAAAAAATTTGCTCGTCTTGCAAAACACTCGCAGACCAAGTTGCTCGCAATCCAAGGTTTTACTGTACTCATTTCAGGCTGCGCCAACTAAGGGGAGGCACCACTTGCCCTAGATGCTGTCCACGACCGGGAATCGAACCCAGGTGGGCGGACAATGCTTGCAGGTCATCACCTGGGCCTTCCTGCGCTCCCAGAAGGCGTGGAGCCGCTCCGTTGAGAGTTTAGCGTCTCCCGCGGGGTTCGCCAGCCACGGGTGCTTCAAGGCATCCTCCGCTCCCAGCCGCTTGCTGAGAATAAAAAACAACCACACCCAGGTCCAGCCAATGAAGAACATAACCAAACCATTCTGTGTGTATAGCCAAGGAATAATGCCCCGTAAACAACTCATGTATTGCTAACAATACGCAATGTGACCTATGAAGTGGCCACGCGGTTGATGGGTCAGAGACACTGAGCCACAAACCACTGGGATCCTGGGTTTGAATCTGGGTTCCAGTCACCCATTGTTTAAACCCGGTTTTCAAGGGTAATTTTAGTCATGAGTTGATGGTCTCAACCATGGCTCTGTCTGGTCACCGGTGGCTGCATAGAGAGCTGCTTGGTATTTGTGGAAGTTTAATCATAATGCACAGTACGGAGGAATGTTGGGAACTCTGTGTGTCTTAGCAGACACGGGGGAGCGCTAAACGTGGATTAAATTCGATGGATTCACTCACGATACCCGCATATAATTATGCACGTGAGAATCGATTATTTATATTTTTCTAAAACTTTTCAAGCAAAAAATATGGCGTGAGACGTTGTGGCTCGAGGAGCGAACCAAACCGTATAAACGTGAAGGACCACATTCGAAAAAATACAAACGAGAGAGTAAAATGAAGAAAAAAAAACAATACATTGAAATGTGGAGGCATCAGCTTGGTCATATCCTCCTCCTCTGATGGGCAGCAGAATGAGATTCGTGAGGCATTTTGGCACGATGCACCGATTCATCGATTGCAACTATTCATTTTAAACTCACGATGCACCTATCGAACTGTGCGTGTAGGCATCTTTTTATTTTAGCACCTCCTACTAGCACGGTTGGCTAGGTATGGTGCAAAACAAGTTCAACATACATTAATTTTCAATTCGCACAACATTGTACAGTCTTCGGTTCACGGTGAATATTGCAGCCACTGGATGCACTTCCAATCACTACAATCATAATGCTATTCTTTGGGTCTTTCGGTAAAGTCACGTAGATAGGTTAAAATTAATAAACAAAAATTAAGTAAACAAAAAACTACGACGTTTCGATCACAACACAAGCGATCGTCATCAGGAGGAAAGGGGGGGTTGAACGTTGTCGAAGGCAGTCTGTTTTTAAAGTTTTATAATGGGCGTAGCCCAAGGGTCATAAACGAAGTGGGCGGGGCTAGTTATGTTAATGTGACGACGAGCGCGCGGAGGTGGCGCTCTTCGTGGAGGTCGCTCTCCGATCTCACATTAACATCGCGAGCCCCGCCCACTTCGTAGGAAAATCACACCCGTCTCTTATTTTCCCTTAGAGAGCAATGCGTTCTCTGCTAGTGTTTATTACAAATTTATTATTCCACCGAATCGTGACCCCAAAATGGGTAAATTTATCAGATTTCCGAGTGTGTACATTATGACAAGCCTGGATAGGGAACGGGGCAGGGGGGGTGGGGCTCTGTTAGACCCCTCCGCCCACCCATGCACGACCCCACCAGTACAGGGCCCCCTCCTTTCAGTCAAAGGCCCCCCAGCAGCTCCACCAACTGCTTCGTTATCACCGTGTCCTCCAGGTGCAAGTTGAGTGTGGGGTGCGTCCTATAACCCGGTAGGGGTGGGTGTGTGCCCCTGTGACCACATTTGTGTAACATTTTGTGACACCGAACAACAAGCGACTTTCCAGAGCGTCTTATAATGCGGAGAATACGGTAGATCACTCCACCTACCCACCCATGCGTGGCCCAACCAGACACGGGCTCCAACAACAACAACAACGACAGCGTTGTGAGCATTGGCCATGCAGCGTACATCACTCGCAATGCACTCGCTCCACGGCCTCACTGCAGGGGCGAGGTGGTGACAATGGAATTGGATGGGCGCTCTCCCCAGCGGGTATCGCGTTGGCTTGAAGAGGCATGCGACCTCTCTGACCGGCCTGAGTTGAGCTATTTTAGGTGAGGTATGCCACGCCAAGCTCCGGCCACCTCACATGCCGGCTTTGATTGCGATCTGCGGAGACTTTTAAAAGCCAGCGTCCCTCCTGTCCGTCACCCACCGCCGTCTCAGACCGGCGACTCAAAACGCATGGACTCCGCTCCTCGCGGATTGCGCAATTGGAAACAACGCTGGAACGCGGCCTTATTGAGTTTATGTTTTGTGCGAATGGAGTTGGGATGGGAGCGCTGAGTACATCACAGGGAACATCCTCTTTGGGTGCATCGTGGATTGCGGCGCGCGCATTTGGAGCCACTGTGCACAACACGTGTCCAGCAGAGGGCCTCTCCTGCTGCGCATCAGCTTCAGTGTCACACTCCACAAGTCTGGCATGAAAATGTTTGGTTCAATGATGATGGCGTCGTATGATAAGTAACAATCGACTTAAGTGTTTAGCGCAAGGCTTAATGCAACAGAAAACTTTAGTCATAATAAAGGTTTTTGGGTTAGATCGCGTTTATTTATAAATGTGTCGTAACCCTCCACCACCCGACACGGCCAATCAGCAAAGAAAAGTGTCACGTTGACAAAAGACAAATAATTCACTACTTCAGCCCACCGGTGTGTTGAAGAGTTAATCCACATTTACAGTTTGAGTACGACGTTTCGCTGGTAAATACTTCCAGCATCATCGGGCAATTCGCCAGAATGGTAAAGCCCTCGCTTGCTCCCGGTTTTATATAGAGCAGAAGAGTGACGTCATCACTTAACTCATCAGGTGCAGTGATTAGAGGCGGAGGGGGGGGTAATGTAATTATATAATCGATTAGTAATCAGTCATTGGTTATGATTAGTAATGAGTTGTAGATTAGTAATTCTTTAAATCAAAATGTAATGTGTATTATTTAATAATACGCTTCCAGGCCGCACTGAGCCGGTAGCTGTCAGAGCGATTAAAGTTATTCTTGTTCCTCTCAATTTCAATGGATTCTCTAATTAGTCTTTGCCAGTAATAATTAGTTTTACACACCACTGCAACATTGTCAAAATCAATTGAGTGTCCTTGTTGACAAGCATGTTCTGCCACTGCCGACAGTTGTGTTTGAGATAATTTAATATTTCTCTGATGTTCTTTTAGTCTTACGCTGATGTTACGTCCCGTCTGCCCAATGTAGCAGCTGCCACATGAACAATTAATCCGATATACACCTTCTGTTGATAGTTTAGGTAATGCGTCTTTAGTGCAAGATACTAGTTTTTGAATTTTGTGTACTGTACCAAATCTTACTGTAATGTTTTGCTTTTGCAAAACGCGGGCTAATTTGTCAGTTACTCCTGAGATATATGGAATTTTTATTGTTTTAACAATCTGGTCGCTTTCAGTAGTATTGCTTTGCGATCGTGATTTGGCATTCAGTGCTCTGTTAATTTGAGCATTATTGTAGCCATTCTGTCGTAGTGCGTCTTTAACGTGTTTAATCTCTCTCACTAGACTCTCACCATCTGACACTGTTTTCGCCCGATGCACGAGCGTCTTAATAAGAGAGGATTTTTGAGCTGGATGATGATGTGATTCTGCATTCAGATAGGCATCAGTGTGCGTTTGCTTTCTGTAAACGCTGTGTGTTATTTTACCGTTTAGGCCATGTCCAAGCAAAATATCTAGGAATGGGAGTGTATTATTCACCTCCATTTCCATGGTGAACTGGATGGCCGGGTTTTGTGCATTGAGATGATTTAGAAAATCATTAAGTGTATCTTTACCATGTGGCCAGACAACCAAAGTGTCATCCACATACCTAAACCAAAAGGATGGTTTTAATGTGCTCGAGGCAAGTGCTCTTATTTCAAAGTTTTCCATGTACAAATTTGCTATAGCAGGGGATAAAGGAGAACCCATTGCTGCTCCTTCCTTTTGTTTAAAGAAATCCCCTCTCCATAAGAAGTAAGTGTTATTTAAGCAATGGCCAGCAAGTTTCGGAATATCTTTTTGTAAACCGGTATTCTTTACTAGTGTATCAAGTAATTTAAGCGATTCGTCCACTGGAACCTTAGTGAATAGAGAAATCACATCAAAGCTTACCAGAATATCATCAGGAGTAAGTTTAATATCTTTAATCACATTCACAAGATGTTCTGAATTTTTTATGAATGAAGATGTCTTACCGATGTAGGGCTGTATTTGTTTGGTTATATATTTTGCCAATTGATATGTGGCAGAGCCAATTGTACTGACTATGGGTCGTAATGGGATGCCGATTTTATGAATCTTTGGTAGCCCATAGAGTCTAGGTGGTTTTGAGGCCCTTGGCTTAATTAGGTATTGCTCATTTTTAGGGATTAATGAATTTGCAATTATTGCAGTGGTCTTACGTTCTAAAGTATTAGTTGGATCTCGTTTAATTTTAATGTAGGTACTTTCCTCTAGTAAATTTCTAATTTTATTATCATAATCGGCTCGTGACATCAGTACAGTAGTGCGGCCTTTATCAGCTGCTAGGATTTGGATATCCTTATTTACACGCAGCTCTCTTAAGGCTTTTGCCTCGTTAGAGCTAATATTTACTTTTGGAACTTTGCTATTCTCAATTATTTTAGCAACCTCATGTCTAGTCATTATTATTAAATAATACACATTACATTTTGATTTAAAGAATTACTAATCTACAACTCATTACTAATCATAACCAATGACTGATTACTAATCGATTATATAATTACATTACCCCCCCCTCCGCCTCTAATCACTGCACCTGATGAGTTAAGTGATGACGTCACTCTTCTGCTCTATATAAAACCGGGAGCAAGCGAGGGCTTTACCATTCTGGCGAATTGCCCGATGATGCTGGAAGTATTTACCAGCGAAACGTCGTACTCAAACTGTAAATGTGGATTAACTCTTCAACACACCGGTGGGCTGAAGTAGTGAATTATTTGTCTTTTGTCAACGTGACACTTTTCTTTGCTGATTGGCCGTGTCGGGTGGTGGAGGGTTACGACACATTTATAAATAAACGCGATCTAACCCAAAAACCTTTATTATGAATAATATTGGTCGCGAAAGCCTACGTGTTAAACAGAAAACTTTAGGCTGACTTTGTTCGATAAGTAAAGCCGATCAAACTCCAGCCCGTGATTTTTGGGGATCTAAATTTGCAAAAAAAATCATTATAGACATACACTCAACTTGGTATGTGAAATTTTCATCTTCATAGCTTTTACAGCACATTATTAGCATTTACATTAGTCACTCAATCACTGACTTATCACAATCATCTGTGTCAGGTATGAATTATATTATTAACAAATTAGATGATCACAAACTAGTTACATTGTGTGCGAGTGGTGCAATGTTTAGCACACTGTGCTATGAACCAAGTGACCTGAGTTCAATTTCCAGCCACGGCTAACATCGATGGTGGGTGATACGTAAATCGGTACTGGGCCCCTACCCCTACTTCACCAATGTGTGCTGCTGAGTGTGGTGAAGTATGGTCAAATTCTCGAGACCGACACAGCGTGGGGAAAATCTTCATCCATCAACAGAATGACAAAGAGCTATACATGTGTGCACACGTGTATGTGTGTACACATACACACATACACGTGTACATCGACTACTGTGACATGCGATATAGCAGGGTCTGGAGATGCGGGGTCTCACGGTGGTGCCTTGACCAGCAGCTTGGAGATGAATTCTCGCGCGGGCTGCGACACGGCCTTGAACCCTTCCTCGGGGAAGCTGTAGGTTGCCGCCACCACCTTCTTCACCGTCACGTCATCTGACGCGGCCCAGAAGGGCGACACGCCGCTGAGCCTGCACACGCGCACGCATACACACACGGTGACAGTGAGAGTCACGGTCCAAATCACCGAGATCATCAGAATCACGCCCGGACAATATGACAGAACACATCATCACGCCGATTTGCCCTATTGTTGGTGATGGAGACGTCAGAACATTTTTGACAATGAAAATTAGCCAATCTCAATGGATCTCACAACTGACGTTCAATCTCAATTAATCGCATAAAGTGTCACCACGCCAACACGAGCAATGCACTGCTCATTTCTCGACACAATTCTGAGCCAGTGGGTGAAATGTCACACAACCGTGACAGGCCTCAGTAACTCCACGATAATTGGTGGATGAATTGCAATACCACGTGATATTGTTAAATTCCACAAATTGAGACTTGAATATAATTATTTGGTTTAATAAAGAATTAAAGCTTTCGTGACTGCATAAAATTACTCATTGTTTTTTTCGGTAAAGTCACGTATGTAGAAATACAATAAAATTATATTAAAACAATATAATTTAATTCTTTATTAACACACTTCTACGGGGAAGCTACCTTTGCAATTCTGTCCTAAATGTGCACCCCAAGCCTGCTCCTACCCCCCCTCCCCCCCGCTTCTGTTGATGTGCAGGATGTGCTTATTTCAGCTGCCGCACCCTCTCTCAAGCCTGCTCTTACCCCCCCCCCCCCCCCGCTTCTGTTGATGTGCAGGATGTACTTATTTCAGCTGCCGCACCCTCTCTCAAGCCTGCTCTTACACCCCCCCGCCCCGCTTCTGTTGATGTGCAGGATGTACTGCCGCACCCTCTCTGTCCGGCCCCTCCCCCTCCCCTCAACTTTATTTCCTATTTAAGGCTTCTGTTCATCCCCCCCCTCTCTCTCCTTGCTTCTCTGTCCGTCTTTCCTCCCTCCTTGCCTCTTGGTGGGCCTGTATATGTATTTCTGCTGACTTTGTACCTCGTATTTGTTCACTCTGTCTATGCTGGTATGTGCAATCCAGAGGTTGAACACGAAATTTACACTCTTCTGAAATTCGTGGTCCGCCAGGAAGTGTCTAACTGTGTTATTGGCCTGACTGGTTGTGCTTCACATAATGTTTTTTCAGTGTTGTTGAATTCTCGTCTCTCATCTTTTTGTTGTATTTACCTCCATGATTTGTTCTTGACACCTGATGAAGATCGCTTGTGTTGTGATCGAAACGTCGTGATTGTTTTGTTTTAATATTATTGTATTTCTACATACGTGACTTTACCGAAAAAAACAATGAGTAATTATTTGGTTTGTCATCGACCAGACTAAGACTATGACGAACATGAAAAGGTGAATAAATTAACAATGCTCACAAAACAAAACTCAATGTCACAACTTCCGTTCCATCTCAATGACATTTACAACGCATGCTCAATCTAAAAAATAACGGCACATAATATCCTCAAAATGTACTCGATCTCCAAAGAACCCAACGCACACTCTACCTCAACGGATCTCACACCTGACCCCCATTGTCATCTCAAACCGAAGACGTATGCATGTCGAACTACTTTCGCACCGTACGTAGCCAATCGTGCCAATCGGAGGTGGGGGGGGAAGGACAAAGAAACTGAACGCAGCAATGTCACGTGGTGCCGTCGTACATGACGTAGGCGAGGAGCCCCACGCCCCACATGTCGGTGCTGCACGCGATGGCCTCGTTGGTGAGCATCTCGGGCGCGGCGAACTCCGCGGCACTCTGCGACACCTTCAGGTTGTCCGTGTAGCGCTGGGCGCAACCGAACTGCATCAGCTTCAGCTGCTCGGAGTCACGGCTCGCCAGCCACAGGCACTCGGGCTGCCGGGGTGGGGAGAAGCTCGCGTTAAGAAAACGTGGCCACGCACCGCTCACGCACATTCTATTGGCCAAGGTTGCAGGTTCATGTCCTCCCACGATTGCCTTACGGTTGTCACCGTGATCTCGATACAGCTGGGGCCACCGGTGTAACGGTTGCGCACCGAATTGAGGCTAACGTGGCACACAGCAGGGCCAGTCAAGGACCTCAGGCCATTGATGGCCCACGTGATAACATTATCTTCGAACACATTACTCATGTAATACAGTTTTATATATTTACGTCTCATGTAATAATAATTGGGTTGAAATAGTCCATAGGGATCCCATCTGGCCAACTGAAGGACACTTCATACATAAAAGTTAGTCTGAGTTGTGATTATGTATTTTGTATTATCTGAAACTGGATTGCAGTTTAAGGAGCGGTAACGCATTCTAAACCAAATACATATGCATAACACACAATAAACTAACTATATGTACATATAAAATCGGCGACATTTAGAACAATCTTCATTCATATGCCATTAAAAAGGGTGATTGTCCGAAACGTCGCCGATTATATTTGTTTTTCTGTTAAGGCGGTGTTGTTGAGGCTCAGACCTGCTTAGCTTTTAAGATCTGACGAGATCATACGCATTGCAGGTGATTTGGACACTGGCCGACTGGAGTATAATTGGAAGAAAAACATAATCACTGGTAAAATTTTGACGTGTCCAACAAACGTCGCCAAAACTGCTCCCGGCTCCTCAGCCACAGCGTGGGTTTGTGTCATCATCCAGCCACGTGGCCAAGTGCAATGCCGGGGTGGAGCCCACCGCACCTTGACGTCCAGGTGTAGCACGTTGAGGCTGTGCAGGTGCTGCAGGGCCAGGCACAGCTGCTTGACGAAGCCGGACACCTTGCGCTCTGTCAGCGCGTAGCCCTTGCCGCTGAGCCGCTCAAACAGCGGCCCCCCATCCACGCTGCGCACAGGGGCAACGGCGGCAATCGCGGCTCTCAGGGTCGGGCGAGGCACGGGGGGCGATGGGGGTGGGTGGGGGTTAAGGGGTTCTTAGAGAGGGGTCGCGGTGGCGAGATGGTAACTCCCTCGCCTGGTATGCAGGAGGTCGTGGGTTGGATCCCGACGCTGATGCCTGCTGTATATTTGGAGTTTGCGTGCTCTCTCTCCCCGTGGCCGTGTGGCTTTGTCTCCGGGTCCTCCGATCTTTCCCTCCACATTTAGAAACACGACTTTAAAGGCTGCTATACATTTCCGACGTGATAAGCCGCTCCGTTGACCAATCATTTGTGGCCAGGTGGCCTCCGCAAAAGAGCGAAATAGCTCAATGGGCTCGGCCTGGTAACATTAAAACAAAAAAAGTGTATTTCAGCTTTCAGCGCTCCCACTCTGTGAAACATCTCTAGGAGCCCCTTCCTCAGACTGGCGCACTAGCCTGCTCCACGACACGAAGGGAAGCCTCGCGTTGGGATTTGTCCCTCCACCGCGCGCGCACCGTTCCACGCGAGGTGCAGTGCCGCACTCTGTCCACCAGGGGACGCCCCCGCTCATTGTGAACAGCCCCCGCACCAGTCGACGATTCGATGCATGCATGGACCGTGATGCATTAGAACAAGGCCATAATTATAATATATATGGGGGGGGGGGGGACACACATCCCCCCCCCAACACATCCCCCCCCCCAATATTCAAATATGCTCAAAATGTCCCCCCCCAATATATTGCTATAAAATAGATTTCTGTTTTTATGATTGTGGTTATGGTTGTACTTGATTAATCCCTAATCTCTGCCATTACATACAATTAAACAAGAAAAGGTAAAAAAGAAAAAAAAGAGAAATGTAATACAATACACTATTAAACATTATTGTAAAAAATAAAAGTCCATCCTATGTGTTATAGGCAGGAAATTCGTTTTCAAATTTAGATTTGTTTTCTTCTGGGGGAGGACCTCCAGACCCCCTGGAAGATTTGTTCCCCCCCAATATTGACTCCATGGCTACGGCCTTGCATTAGAATACTTTTGAGAGATCGGTCATCGATGCATTGCGACATGCTCAGCAATGACCTATACCTAGGATGTAATATTAGCCGGTTACGTCTGGATACGTAACCCGAATAATTAGTTCCTGGCCCGGTACACCACATCCAGTATACTGCTCGAATTATGACTGTGCCTAACTGGCTACGTGACTTTTAATCGACCAGCGTGACGGGTATTTTACAATATACAAGTCCACAGTAATATCCCGATTTACGTTGGGGGTGCGTTCCTGAAAGGTGAAAGGACCATCGACATGGCATGAATCAAATAAATGTAGAGGGCCGGTGGAGGCGAAGGCTGAGAGGCGACGGATACGAGAAAGGACGGACGACGCTGTCAGCGACGCAAGTGTGGGTTGAGGCGATGCAAATCGCGTAGCGGTGTTGCCAAAGTGACGACGTAATTGCGAAGTGATGCAAAATGTGCAGTATTGCTGTATACGGTGCGGAATTGTGGTGCCCCTGCCGAGAGGCGTGTCGCCGAGCTTTGGGGGTGTACGTTCCCCGGCCACGTACGGCTCCGTGACGAGCACCATCTGCTTGGTGTCGAGCAGGTGGTAGACGTCGAGCAGCTGCAGCACGTTGGGGTGGCTCGCTCCGTACAGCAGCTCCGCCTCGTTGAGGCACTCGGCGCGGTGGCTGTGTCGCTGCGCGTTCACGAAGCGCGCGTGAGCGGCGCGGCCGGACGCCTTCTCGACGGCGCGGAACAGCGTCCCCAGTAGCCCCCTGCAACAACAACAACAACAAAAAGACAAAGAACACGATTTGTTAATTTTACTCGGAAAGGCCCACTGAGATGTACAGGGCGCTTAAAAAAGAAACACGTTAACACTTCTGAGAATTGTCAACAATAACCACGAGAAATGTCCCTCCGGACTCTGGAGACAACCTGGAAAAGATTCCAGGCCACGTGTTGACAACGATGGCGAACGAGTGGGAGACTCTTTGACTTTTTGAAGCTATTAACATTACATTTGTTATCATGTTACGGTGCATTATCCGTTCTTTTTTACATTAAAAACGATAGTCCCATACAGTGAGGGAAAAAAGTATTTGATCCCCTGCTCATTTTGTACGTTTGCCCACTGACAAAGAAATGATCAGTCTATAATTTTAATGGTAGGCTTATTTGAACAGTGAGAGACAGAATAACAACAAAAACATCCAGAAAAACGCATATCAAAAATGTTATAAAGTGATTTGCATTTTAATGAGGGAAATAAGTATTTGACCCCTCTGCAAAAAATGACTTAGTACTTGGTGGCAAAACCCTTGTTGGCAATCACAGAGGTCAGACGTTTCTTGTAGTTGGCCACCAGTTTTGCACACATCTCAGGAGAGATTTTGTCCCACTCCTCTTTGCAGATCTTCTCCAAGTCATTAAACTTTCGAGGCTGACGTTTGACAACTCGAACCTTCAGCTCCCTCCACAGATTTTCTATGGGATTAAGGTCTGGAGACTGGCTAGGCCACTCCAGGACCTTAATGTGCTTCTTCTTGAGCTACTCCTTTGTTGCCTTGGCCGTGTGTTTTGGGTCATTGTCATGCTGGAATACCCATCCACGACCCATTTTCAATGCCCTGGCTGAGGGAAGGAGGTTCTCACCCAAGATTTGACGGTACATGGCCCCGTCCATCGTCCCTTAGATGCGGTGAAGTTGTCCTGTCCCCTTAGCAGAAAAACACCCCCAAAGCATAATGTTTCCACCTCCATGTTTGACGGTGGGGATGGTGTTCTTGGGGTCATAGGCAGCATTCCTCCTCCTCCCAACACGGCGAGTTGAGTTGATGCCAAATAGCTAAATTTTGGTCTCATCTGACCACAACACTTTCACCCAGTTGTCCTCTGAATCATTCAGATGTTCATTGGCAAACTTCAGACGGGAATGTATATGTGCTTTCTTGAGCAGGGGGACATTACGGGCGCTGCAGGATTTCAGTCCTTTACGGCGTAGTGTGTTACCAATTGTTTTCTTGGTGACTATGGTCCCAGCTGCCTTGAGATCATTGACAAGATCCTCCCGTGCAGTTCTGGGCTGATTCCTCACCGTTCTTATGATCATTGCAACTCCACGAGGTGAGATCTTGCATGGAGCCCCAGGCCGAGGGGGAATGACAGTTATTTTGTGTTTCTTCCATTTGCGAATAATCGCACCAACTGTTGTCACCTTCTCACCAAGCTGCTTGGCAATGGTTTTGTAGCCCATTCCAGCCTTATGTAGGTCTACAATCTTGTCCCTGACATTCTTGGAGAGCTCTTTGGTCTTGGCCATGGTGGAGAGTTTGGAATCTGATTGATTGATTGCTTCTGTGGACAGGTGTCTTTTATACAGGTAACAAGCTGAGATTAGGAGCACTCCCTTTAAGAGTGTGCTCCTAATCTCAGCTCGTTACCTCTATAAAAGACATCTGGGAGCTAGAAATCTTTCTGATTGAGAGGGGGTCAAATACTTATTTCCCTCATTAAAATGCAAATCAATTTATAACATTTTTGACATGCGTTTTTCTGGATTTTGTTGTTGTTATTCTGTCTCTCACTGTTCAAATAAACCTACCATTAAAATTATAGACTGATCATTTCTTTGTCAGTGGGCAAACGTATAAAATCAGCAGGGGATCAAATACTTTTTCCCCCACTGTATGGTAAAATCACGTAGATAGAAAACTAAAGCAATTTTTAAAAATATATTTATTTTTTATTTATCGCAACACAAGCGGTCTTCATAATCTCTCCGTCTGATGAAGACCGCTTGTGTTGCGATCGAAACGTCGTGGGTTTTTTGCTTTTATTATATTAAATTTATTTTTAATTTTATTTTACTATTTTTTATCGTGGTTTTTTTGCTTTTATTTTTTTCACTTTTTTATATACGTGATTTTACCGAAAGAACCAAGAATATGAATTCCCATATAAGTGATGTGACCAACACCACGCCCGGCCGCCTTTGTCTCGCCAGTGCTGCTATTTGCTACGCACCGCACCAAGTTACTCGTTTAAGGCCAAGTCGACCGGCCGGATGCCCAGGACCGTTTCATGAAGTCGCCACTGTTAAAGGTCGCGAGCGGGCATCGAACTGTCTGTGTATGACGATATTGCCTGCTGTGTGTGTATGACGATATTGCCAGCTGTGTGTGTATGACGATATTGCCTGCTGTGTGTGTATGACTACAATGCCTGCTGTGTGTGTATGACTACAATGCCAGCTGTGTGTGTATGACTACAATGCCTGCTGTGTGTATGACTACAATGCCTGCTGTGTGTGTATGACTACAATGCCTGCTGTGTGTGTATGACGATATTGCCTACTGTGTGTGTATGACGATATTGCCTGCTGTGTGTGTATGACTATATTGCCTGCTGTGTGTATGACGATATTGCCTGCTGTGTGTGTATGACTACAATGCCTGCTGTGTGTGTATGACGATATTGCCTGCTGTGTGTGTATGACGATATTGCCTGCTGTGTGTGTATGACGATATTGCCTGCTGTGTGTGTATGACTATATTGCCAGCTGTGTGTGTATGACTATATTGCCTGCTGTTTGTGTATGACTACAATGCCTGCTGTGTGTGTATGACGATATTGCCTGCTGTGTGTGTATGACTACAATGCCAGCTGTGTGTGTATGACGATATTGCCAGCTGTGTGTGTATGATGATATTGCCTGCTGTGTGTGTATGACGATATTGCCTACTGTGTGTGTATGACGATATTGCCTGCTGTGTGTGTATGACTATATTGCCTGCTGTGTGTGTATGACGATATTGCCTGCTGTGTGTGTATGACGATATTGCCTGTTGTGTGTGTATGACTACAATGCCTGCTGTGTGTGTATGACGATATTGCCTGCTGTGTGTGTATGACGATATTGCCAGCTGTGTGTGTATGACGATATTGCCTGCTGTCTGTGTATGACTATATTGCCAGCTGTGTGTGTATGACGATATTGCCAGCTGTGTGTGTATGACTACATTGCCAGCTGTGTGTGTATGACTATATTGCCTGCTGTGTGTGTATGACTACATTGCCTGCTGTGTGTGTATGACGATATTGCCTGCTGTCTGTGTATGACGATATTGCCAGCTGTGTGTGTATGACTATATTGCCAGCTGTGTGTGTATGACTACATTGCCTGCTGTGTGTGTATGACGATTTTGCCTGCTGTCTGTGTATGACGATATTGCCAGCTGTGTGTGTATGACGATATTGCCTGCTGTGTGTGTATGACTACATTGCCTGCTGTGTGTGTATGACTACATTGCCAGCTGTGTGTGTATGACTATATTGCCAGCTGTGTGTGTATGACGATATTGCCTGCTGTGTGTGTATGACGATATTGCCTGCTGTGTGTGTATGACTATATTGGCAGCTGTGTGTGTATGACTATATTGCCAGCTGTGTGTGTATGACGATATTGCCTGCTGTGTATGTATGACGATATTGCCAGCTGTGTGTGTATGACGATATTGCCTGCTGTGTATGTATGACGACATTGCCTGCTGTGTCTGTATGCCGATATTGCCTGCTGTGTGTGTATGACTACATTGCCTGCTGTGTGTGTATGGCGATATTGCCTGCTGTCTGTGTATGACGATATTGCCAGCTGTGTGTGTATGACGATATTGTCAGCTGTGTGTGTATGACGATATTGCCAGCTGTGTGTGTATGACGATATTGCCAGCTGTGTATGACTACATTGCCAGCTGTGTGTGTATTACTATATTGCCTGCTGTGTGTATGACGATATTGGCAGCTGTGTGTGTATGACGATATTGGCAGCTGTGTGTGTATGACGATATTGCCTGCTGTGTCTGTATGACTTTATTGCCAGCTGTGTGTGTATGACTATATTGCCAGCTGTGTGTGTATGACTACAATGCCAGCTGTGTGTGTATGCGCGCACACACCGACAACAGCAGTTCGGCGGCTGTGCAAAAAGTGTAGTCTTATGGAACAGTCGTTATGTTCACCATCACCATCATGAAGGACATCATCACCATAATCACCATCATCATATGTCCAAGCACAGACACATTGCATATATAAACTGTATGTTGAATTATTTCGCACCGTACGTATCCAACCGATTTCATATGAGGTTCGAGAGAAGGACAATAATTCTAAACACACACAAAACAGTTCTAAAGAAATTAGTTTTCAATTTAATAAATACGTTTTAAAATTTACATCGCCTGGAACAGGCTTCTCACACGAGCACCGTACAACAGCGCAACAGATTTAAAAGTATAAACCTGGCCGAGATCTTTCTCGCCAACAATTAACTTACCTGGAGCCAGAGGCGAACTCAATCGCGCATTCTGATCAACACTGCCCCCTGAAGGTGAGCGAGTGCCCAGCGCGGCTCTACGCGTTGGCTGCCACGTGAGACGGCGTCGCGCACTTTCAAATACTCGCTTATCCGAGTGCCATAATTACCCTGCTCGTGCTCCTACGCTCTGGCACACAAACTCCCCAGCCTCCATAAAAGTGCGGTGCTATTTGCAGCCCCGTCCGCTGCAGTGTGAGGCTGGATAAGCATTCTACAAATGTCCCAAATGCAAGACCCGCTTTTACAGAGTTTTGGCATTTACCTGAGTAAAGGACACTACCTTCTTCATATATATTTTTTTATACGTGATTATAGCTACTGATACGTTCCTTCTCGCTGGTAGATCCTGACTGGAGGACGGGTATGGACTTGAGCTGCAGAGCTCCGTGCCCCCAAGACTGGTCCGCACAGATGGAGGCTCCCAAACAATGGGGTTGAGAGTGACCCTTGTGCAACATTTCTGTTCCGTGACTGACCTACCTGGTGCCTCGGCACTCCACAGCCACACCCCGTCCCACCAGCAGTCGATCTACATTCTCACCACTTTCAGATCCTACCACTCACGCATTTACTGCCTCACTCCACCACCAAGTCACCTATCCACGCAATCACTTACTCAACCACTGACTCGTCCATTAACTCGTATCCGAGCTCACCCGTCCACCCACTCAACTAATTGTTGACTCACCCAACCTCTGACCTATCAACTCACCCATTCACCCACTAAACCATCTAATCCAGGGGTGGGGAACCTTTTTTCTGCCTAGGGCCATTTGGATATTTATAACATAATTCGCGGGCCATACAAAATGATCAACTTAAAAATTAGCCCGTTATATTTGGTCAAACATTTAATTAACTCACCCCTAATGCGATGGCTGGAACTGCTTCTCTTTGGCGAGGCGTGTGCTGTTAGCTGGTATTGATGTTGTTAGCTGGTATTGATGTTGTTAGCTGGTATTGATGATGTTGCTACTCGCAACTGCTTTTCCAGGTTTGCTCCTAGATTTATTGAATTTCGAGTCCCGCCTCCGGTTGCCTTGGCAGGGCCAGACCAAATAATTTTGCGGGCCTTATACGGCCCGGGGGCCGGACGTTCCCCACCCCTGATCTAATCACTCATTCACCCATGCATCACCCACTCACTAACTCGTCCGCTCATTCACTCACTCACCCACCCAATTGCCCAATTCAGCTATCAACTTACTCATTCGCCCCCACACTCACTCAGTCACCCAAACCCTCTCATTCACTCATCTACCAACTCACCCATCCATCCACCCACTCACACATCTGAACCACCCTCTCAGTCTCTCTCACTCACGTAAACCCTCGCAGTCACCACCTATCGCAATCTTGGGAGCTAATCGTGGAGTGAGAAATACAGCCCAGGAGGTGACAGGTGACAGATGATCACCGAGGGTTCCCACCTGGCACGCCATCTCTCCCTTGCACGGTCTCTTTCTCAAACAATAACGAAAAGATCCTCGCACCCCGTATAGCCTTGACAAGCTGTTGGGGCAAGTGTCGTTAGTCAGCAACTATGAAGGCTGGCAACGGAACACGAGGGGGTGGGTGGCCAACACCACGCCCGGCCGCCTTTGTCTCCCCAGTGGCGATGTTTACACACCGCACCAGGTACCCATTTGAGGCTGAGTCGACCTAGACTCGCAAAGCGGGTCTTATGCCGTCATCTGGCTTTCACGGGAACATCACCCCCGTCTTCCTCATTCTCATCAGCAGCAATAGTGGTAGCATCAATATTATTATTATCATCATCATCATCATCACAAACCATCTTTATCGTCGTCATCATCATATGTGTCACCTCCGTCTCCATCTTCATAACTTCTGGTCTGCAAACGGGCATTAGTCTGCCAGAAGCGGGGGGCGATGGTTGCAACGTATAATCTCAATTGAGTAAGAGTGTGTGTACGACCACGTTTTTTCTGGTCTAAATTTAGCAACATCGTCTCGAAATGGAGGCAACACACACAGAAAGAAATCCCCCTTATAGCCTTAACAGACTGTTGGGGCAAGTGCTGTTAGCGAGCAACTATGAAGGTCAGCACGGCACACGAAGGGGTGGGTGGCCCGCACCACGCCCGGCCTCACCAGGTACTATTTTGAGGCTGAGTCGACCTATGGGAGGCCCAGGACCGGTTCAGATAATCGTCACTGGTGTTGGCCGTGAGCGCAGCAAGCTAACCGCTGCACTACCGCTCTCACTCACGCACACACACAGACAGAGGCGACCGAGTCTCATCCCACCTGCTGATCTCCTCCTTGAGTTCGAAGAAGTCCTCCAGCTTGCGCTCCCTGGGCAGCAGCTCCCCGTTGTGCAGGTGGTAGGAGATGCTCTTAACGGTCGCTTCTAGACAATAGACACACAGGGGTTGCTTTTGACCATACCAATATCTCGAAGGTCAGTGCGTGTTGGTGGAGGGGAAGGGGTGGTTGGTGGCCAGTCCCGGTTCAGTTATCACTGGCCCAGTGATGTTCGCCGTGGCCGGGAATCGAGCTCAGGTCGCCGGGTTCAAGAGAAGCGCTCGAATAGCTACTGGTGGTTTAGTGGTGATTTGATTGGTTATTTGGGTTTGATTGGAATCTGATTGGTGGATTATTTGTTTTTGATGGATGGTAATTGGTAACTGAATAAGGAACTTATCATTGATCGATTGTGAAGCAAAAGACTGACAATTGATTGGCAAATTGCTGACCGGCAACGTCTGTTCACCCAGCAGTATATATGGGTACACCAGAGTCGATCGGCAGGTCGCATTTGGTGGGGTCAAGTGTGGGTACTCCCATCTCGTCAAAAGTTTGGCCAACGCGGAAAAATAGGCCAAAATGTCATCTCGTGCGTCTCTCTAGAGCTCAGCCGAGTGGAGGCCCGTCCACCAGCAGAGGCGTGAGCAAGACATCGAAGGGCTGCACGCATCGCGTTACAAATGATTGACTGCGGTGGCGCACACCTGCGATTTAACGCGTTTGGTGGCAGGGGTTGTGCGAGGTGGCATAAGAGATGGGAATACAGCAAGGGGGTTCACGAATCCGGGCCGTCAAGTGATACCCCGAGTGTCCCTGGTGGCTTATCGCTGGAGGAATTGCCTGTCAAAATCGGTCCAGAGATTGTATTGTACTGAATAAATATTGCTGAAAATATTCACTCCCAGAAGGCCCTGGGTCCGCTGTAGATATTACTCTTATTTTTTTGTGGAGAGACGGATATTGTATATAATTTATATTCGTGGTTATTTTGTGTTTACTAATCACACCGTGATTCGAGGATCAGTTATTTTTTTTACTGAGATTTACAACGCACCTAGTGGCTACAGGGTGACGCGCACCCATATAAAACATCACAAACGACTCAAAACACATCGACTCGGAACAAGCCATTCGATGCGAGGATACTGTGCTTAACAATTGCTAAAACGCAATGCCTCGTCCCAGTCCTCTGGCGTTAACGCCGGCTCCATCTCGCCACTGTGACAGCCGTGACCACACTTAGACCATGGCCTGCTCAGGGATGGTTTTAGAATTTAGACCACCACCCATTGACCTGAGTGCGATTCCCGGCCACGGTTAACATCAGTCGCGAGTGATATCTGGACCGGTCCTGGGCACCCCCTTCACAATTCGGCAGCGTGGTGAAGTATGTTCAAACAACCCCAATTTCTCACAAGGGGTGAGGAGGCGTTCATCCAGCAGTGGATTGACAACGGGCTATACAATGCTATGATTACATTCGCGAGCGCTTGCCGCGGCTACGACAATTGCAGGAGCTACTCGTGTGTCGCCTACACCGCGCGCGTTTACGGAAGCACCCAGAGGCGTAGCCATTGTGTGTGCAGGCGGTGCAATTGCACCGGGTCTTCACTGGCCGCAGAGACCCAGGCTCCGCGTTACGAAGAGGGGAGACCGCGGGTAGGGGGGTTCCGATTTCGCTCCTTGTCCGAGGCCCCGTGCCACCCGCGCCTGGCATGCGCGCTACAGAGCAAGGTAACGTCGCGTTCGCTCTCTCTGAATGTCGCGTGGCCGGTATCGAACTCTCTTAAGTCGCCCACGAGCCATCGTTTTCTGACGCAGCATCGGGGGTTCTGGTTAATAACGCTCAAGGGACGCATGGCTGAAACACGCATTCAAACCCAGGCCCAGGCGGTATGGGCTCATTGCTCTGACCCCTAAGCCACCCGGCCACATTTCTTATTTTTAGAAACACGTCAGTTGGTTTGCTGGGCACGCAGAATTGTGTGGGTCATGTTGGCAATTGCTTTCTCGTTTGCTGATTTTTTTTCCGCTTGTTTAGCATTGTCAATACCATCGGCTTATTTCAGTACAAACGTATTTGTGTACGCTTTGAGACGCGGCTGCATAAGTGGGGTAGCTTTGTTTGGCATGAGCTGCGTGTGCAAGGAATTACATGAGACTCCCCCTGTTCAATGTATCTGCCTCCTCCACCCAATCCCCTGCCTCTTCGTTATTCTGGCGCCTGGTCGCCTCCAGCCCATGGGGCCCGGTGCAGTTGCACCGCCTGAACACTCCACAGCTACAACAACGCATCGCGAAGGCTGCGGGGCGAGTCAGGACTGTGCGAGCCGCGCGTCTCCCCGTTCAAATCCCCGACGCAAAATCGCCGTTTCTATTTTTGGGAATGCGCTCGCCAGCAAATGTTTATATCGAGCGGGAATGCGCAGTCGTGCAGCTGCCCTGCGTCAGATTAGCGTCGAGTGCAATAGGGTCGTAATAATAGCATGGCGAGGCGTGCGAATTTCAACTGCACTCATGCAAATGCAACGCGCTGAATGACAGCTAGATCGGTGTATTAACTCGTGCACGGAAACAGTGTATATAGGTGAGTGGGAGCGAACGGAGTAATTAACAAAAAGCCATTGCGACTGACAAAAGCCATTGCGCATGAAAGCATTGCCAATGTATCTGTCGTCGCTATGACCAGCGTGCGGCCTGTAACGATCAGCTTGGTGCCTCCTGAAACTCGCTGGGCCCTCCGGTTGCGTCGTTCACATTTGCTTGGCCTCGTTGGTCCAGGGCCATACCACGCGGTGGGGGGGGGGGGGGGGTTGCTCCTTCCCCTGTGTGTGCCTGCACCCCCCCCCCGCCAGCCCGCACCACTCCTTCCCGTTTTGCCATCGTTGCTCATGTTGCACATAATTTAAAGCGTTTTAAGATGCGGCAGAATTTGGAATCTATATTCAAAATGATCGTTGAACAAGATTAGTTTGGTTTGTACGAATTCACGTTAATTGCAATATCGATGAGACCGACATAAATGCATGCGCGGTATAAAACAAACCAAAAACTCATCCTACTCACGGGCACGTTGTATTGCACGCATCGTTTATATTTTGTCTACGAAATACATTTTAGGGGTGCAGTTTTCTTCTTTCGTATGGCTGATGTAGATGCAGAGCAACCACTACATGTCACATTCAGGTGGTCAAGCCAGACAACCTCGTCAAGAGCAGCGGAGTGTATGGCTGTGATGTCTCCTTCGTATTTGTGAATCGGGAATTACGCCGTTACGTGTTGTATGGTCTGTTTGGGGGTGCAGTGAATAAGCTCTAATCTGTCTGAAAGATTGCATCCAGTCACGGGCAGTTTGAAGCAGGACTGCATCCGTAACAGCAACGCGACAATCACAGCACACGACGCCATCAGTGGCTGATGCAGAGCAATAATTCCGCATTGAAAACCGGTCAAAGTTACTCAACGTAAACCAACGGAACACGATTCTAATGATCTAAGTTATTCTTCATGGAGACCCAGTGGCTGTCTTGCCTGTTGCATGTCGTGTCCATAAAATGCTTTACGTGTCATCGCCTAAATCTGGTTAGCGTAACCAATCGAGTCCAAAAATAAACTGTCCTCGTCGAGATGAGTTAAACATTTGTAAAGTTTTGAGAACGCAGTCTTCATAACCCGGTATAAAGTATAAGCCGGTAAACCCGGCAACCTGAGTTTGATTCCCAGCCACGGTGAACATTGGTGCCTAGTGATATCTGAACTGGCACCGAACACCCCCACCCTCTTTATCAACCCGCACTGACCAGCGTGGTGAAGTATGGTGAAACAATCCCAGTGACCAACACAGCATGTAGAATATTTAATCCGACATGTAATTATTATTAGTTGACTTCAACTCTAAACTGTTACGGTTAATGACGAAGGCAGTTTATTACTATTTTTGCAAAGTTCAATTATTTAAAGCCTCAAGTTGCAACTCATTAAGACTCAATTTCACGTCATTTTATAATTCAAGTAACTGGGATGGATGGGTTGGATGGTGTGGATGAGATGGATGGGTTATAGCGGAGAGATGTGATGGGTGAAAAACACTCACCAGCCATTGTCCCCGGCGCTCAGAGAACAATCGTGAAAGGGATGGAAATATTCACTCGGGGCTCGCTGTTCCCCAGGGTCCAGCCGTGATCACTGCCTTTGGCCGTGATGCCCGGGCGCTCTGCTGCTGCAGCAGAGAGGCACGGCGAGAGAGAGAGGCACAGGGGGGGAGAGAGGGGCACGGGGAGAGAGAGGCACGGGCAGAGGGAGGCTTAAAGGGCACCTCTCGAGGGCGTGTCTCTGTCGCTAAATAAATAGAGCAGCACGCCTACAAGGCTACAGTTCGCGTTGGGTCATCCGAGCCCCTTGCCGAAGGCAGGGGTGTCTGTGGAAGAGCTGTGATCGAGGGATTACGTGGGCAATGCGGTGGTGGCAAGGCCGGGTTTCCCTCGCGCCGTCTCAAGTTTTCCGGTGGCACGGTCCAGCGGTAGCGCGTTCGGCTCTTGTTGTCGAGGTTCACGGTTCGATTCCAGCGGCCGCCCTGGTTATTACTGCGGGTGTAAAAAAACCCCCGTGGTAATGCAACGCGCTGTCTGTTTTCCAGTGGACGTTGAAAAGATCCCCTGACGTCATTTGCAAGAGTAGGCCATTTACACCGCTAAATTACGGTACTCAATTGGGATTATACACAGAGCGATAATAATCGCCCCCTATTGGCAGACTAATGCCCAAGGACACCATTACAAATTAGGCTCATCCTGCTCTCCTGAATTCTCCCCCCCCCCACCCCGTCTACTTAAACAAAACTAACCTGAACCTTCACTCCGTTTAATAACAAATCAAGTCGCAACGGACTGCACGCGCCTGATTGTGACCCAACACGTCGCAACCACACACAAACAAGATTTCAATGTTTTCAGAGTCCACCACGTCACACGGGGTTTCTAGACTAATTATAATCAGGGCCGTCGACGTCACATGGGACACACACGCAAATCACAAAGACAAAATCTCCCGTGTAGCCTCCACAGGCTGTGAGGGCAAGTGGTGTGAGAATACGCACGAACACATACAATGTTTCCAAGCCCCCCCCGCCCCTCTGCATAAAACTGAACAGACTACATGTGGCAAGTGCTGTTATCGAGTAGCACCAATGAAAGCCGGCACGGTACACGAGGGGGGTGGGTGGCCAGCATCACGCCTTCCCTTTCCCAGTGGCGATGTTTACACGCCGCGCCGGGTACTCATTTGAGGCTGAGTCGACCTAGGGGAGGCCAAGGACCGTCACGGGGTGTTGGCCGTGAGCCCAACATGCACACACATAACTAATTCACAGCACGGTATGAATCCACCGCTGGATGAATGCCTTCCTTGCCGTGTTGGACACTGGGGGTGTGTTTGGCCACGCTTCATCACGCTGGTCAGTGTGGGTTTGGTGGAGGAGGCACATGGCGGGGGGTTGCACACTGCACGCACAGTTCACCCATCACTTGCGACTGATGTTAACTGTGACATAAGGGGCCGTCCATAAATGACGTCACTCACCTAGGGGAGGGGGGGGGGTCAGACATTTGTGAAGATGTGTGACGAGGGGGAGGGGAGGGGGGTTGAGAAATGTGACGTCACGTAAAAATGCGCAACTTAAAATAAAAATAGAATTGTTATAACAACACTAATTGTTATAACAACACTCCTACAACATCAAAGTGCAGCGCCACATTAAATACGCACTACAATGACAATAGTTTAAAGCGATTTGAAGCATGTTTTATTTTCAAAATGGAAATATGGTTTTGGGGGGGGGGGGGGCAGAGCTTTGTGACGTCATATTTGAGGGGGGAGTCTGACTTTTTGTGACGCCGTGTGACGAGAAGGGTGGGGGGGGGTGGGTCAAAAATCGTCCAAAATCGCGTGACGTCATTTATGGTCGGCCCCTTGCACACTGCACGCACAGTTCACCCATCACTTGCGCCTGATGTTAGCTGTGACATCATTTGAATGAGAGCCCTCTATCTAATGAAGCTCGGGATTGTCGGGTTCATAGCAGTGCGCAATAGCACCGCGCCGCCGCTCCCCCCTAAACATTTAACACAATATTAAACATCGCAATTTGAAACAGCGATATCTATGTCGCGTACGGCGTAATTAGCAATCACGCGGCGCATATAGCGTGTGTCGACTTCGCATGGCAACGGAGAAGATCGGTAACCAGGGCAAGGCAGGCAGACCGCGTTGAATAGCGAGAAGCGGAGCAACTGTTTACAAAACTGTTTACACTCCCACCATCCTCATGGTGCTCCTCAAGGTCGACTCAGCCTAAAATCAGTATTTGGTGCGGCGTGTACACATTGTCACTGGAACGATAGAGACAGCCCGGCCTTAATAGGTGCTTGCTAACAACCCCCAACAGTCTATGTCGACTATATGGGAGGGTGGAGGGTGTCTTTGTGTAGATATATATTCCTGTGGTCGAGGGCTGTCATCTGATCGCACAGATAATTCCAGTGAGAATTCTGTCTGCCACGGCTAATGTTAGACTTGCTACGCACTGCATGGGCCCAGCAGTGGATGGGATGCGAACCCACTGCTGGAGAAATTATATGGTGATACTTCGTTGGCAGTGGTGCACAAGCGCATGTAACAAAAAAACGTTTCGGACAACGGTCCTTTTTCAAAGCACATAAATAGAGACCAGAGAGACGATTATTCTATTATTAACGCTATCTTCTAAGCCTATCTATGTGCTATGAAGAGCGGCCTTTGCCCGAAACGTTACCTATTATATATTTGTCTTTATAAGGCAGCGTTATTGAGAATGTTTTGGAATTTTTTTTGTACTACTAAAGGGCTACATTGCCAATCGTCTAAAGGCATCGTCCTATTGCCTCTCCAGACCAGTAGCATCCAGCAGCGCTTGCTGAAGAAATCAACTTTCAATCGGTTTCGACCTTCTGGGTCTTAATCAAACGCTGTTGTCCAATTAGTCCACTGTGCGAAAGGAGTTTATTCATACGTACGTGATGAGAGCACTCAACGTAAATAATATTGCAAAATAAACACCGTTGCCATACAGCTCCGCTTAACAAACCAGAAATAGCAATAGGATGACATCCATCAAAACCCACGAAATATGCGCGTGCGTTCTGCGTTGCTCCATTGCCTCTAATTATAATTAACCATAATAACAACGGCCATTACCAGGAACACCCCTTTATGACTCCGAGGCCACACTGGTGAAGTTCGCAATGTCCACGATGGTACACGTGAGGTGTATAATTTCATTCGAGGGGCACGCCTCGGGCTATAATAAACCGCGTTGACACGATTCCTGGCTTATCGCAAGGACCCAGCGTCGCGCCTTCTATAGCACACGGGGCGGTGGCGAAAACGTGACACGGAACCATCCCGAAATCTTGAATTTACTTCAGAAAGCCAACTGCACATTCTCGCACGAAGGCGAATCTTGAAGCGCGCAAAGTTAAATGTTCGTCGCTTTTGTACGCATGTGTGTAGAACTTATTTTGCATCGCACATAGCCATCTGTGCTAGTCGTAGGTACGGTTTTGTGGTGAAAAAGGGATTTAATCATATATCACGGCACAAACTCGGCCGACGTTTTGATTGTGTTGTCATACCTGGCTGAGATACCAGAGTTCCTACCTCACTGTTCCTTTGTAGACTTCATCGCAGTCACGCTGATTTATGAGCTAGCGCTCACCGATTAATCCAATCAATCGCTCACTCACGGTCAATCATCGCCTTAGCAAAATTCTATCGCTGCAACCATGGTTATTGTTCCCGTTAACTGAATTAATGGATTTCCTCCGTCCATGTTGAGGACTTGGCTGTTTTGTCCCTATCCAGTCCGTGTTCAACCACCATGAAATGTCCAGGTGAAAACTCGCATTTCTCCACTTTGATATTCACTTCCAACGTTTATTTTCCCACGTTCATATAACCTGGCTCAATTAAACAGCGTCATCAACTATTCTGTATAAGACGTTCAAACAGTGCTGTTTGTTACTGGCCATTTGGCCAGAGCCTTTGGACCTGTGGTCGGCAACAGTGATACAAAAAGACTCGTATGACTGCAATCCAACGCTTTGAAGGCAGCGGTTGCTGGGTCACTCGGAGAAGCGTGTGCTGGGTCACTCAGAGAAGCGTGTGCTGGGTCACTCAGAGAAGCGTGTGCTGGGTCACTCAGAGAAGCGTGTGCTGGGTCACTCAGAGAAGCGTGTGCTGGGTCACTCAGAGAAGCGTGTGCTGGGTCACTCTGAGAAGGGTGCACTGGGTCACTCAGAGAAGCGTGTGGAGCACTCTGAGAAGCGTGTGCTGGGTCACTCAGAGAAGCGTGTGCTGGGTCACTCAGAGAAGCGTGTGGAGCACTCAGAGAAGCGTGTGCTGGGTCACTCAGAGAAGCGTGTGCTGGGTCACTCAGAGAAGCGTGTGCTGGGTCACTCTGAGAAGCGTGTGGAGCACTCAGAGAAGCGTGTGCTGGGTCACTCAGAGAAGCGTGTGCTGGGTCACTCAGAGAAGCGTGTGGAGCACTCAGAGAAGCGTGTGCTGGGTCACTCTGAGAAGCGTGTGCTGGGTTACTCTGAGAAGCGTGTGCTGGGTCACTCAGAGAAGCGTGTGGAGCACTCAGAGAAGCGTTTGCTGGGTCACTCAGAGAAGCGTGTGCTCGGTCACTCAGAGAAGCGTGTGGAGCACTCAGAGAAGCGTGTGCCGGGTCACTCAGAGAAGCGTGTGCTGGGTCACTCAGAGAAGCGTGTGCTGGGTCACTCAGAGAAGCGTGTGGAGCACTCAGAGAAGCGTTTGCTGGGTCACTCAGAGAAGCGTGTGCTCGGTCACTCAGAGAAGCGTGTGGAGCACTCAGAGAAGCGTGTGCCGGGTCACTCAGAGAAGCGTGTGCTGGGTCACTCAGAGAAGCGTGTGGAGCACTCAGAGAAGCGTGTGCTGGGTCACTCTGAGAAGCGTGTGCTGGGTCACTCAGAGAAGCGTGTGCTGGGTCACTCAGAGAAGCGTGTGCTGGGTCACTCAGAGAAGCGTGTGCTGGGTCACTCAGAGAAGCGTGTGCTGGGTCACTCAGAGAAGCGTGTGGAGCACTCAGAGAAGCGTGTGCTGCAAGGCTTCCAAACAAACGTGCTGAGCTGAAGTAGCTAGAGAGTGACAGTGAAGAAAGTGTGTTCGTGAACCTGTCTGTGCAGACCTATTCAAATCAAGACCAGACCTATTATTGTGTTGCCCTCACACGCGTTATGGGTTTTCTCTGGGTGTTCCGGTTCCCCTAACCACGTGCGCCTCACGCTTAGACCAGGGGTTACAATCAGGGA